TAAAACCCAAACCAGGCCAACTGTGCTCATGAAGTCAAACCAAAGTTTTTTAGATTGAATTGATTGCAGAGTTGATTCAACCTAGTAATTTCTTTCTTTCTTTTCTTTTCTTTTCTTTCTTTCTTTCTTTCTTTCTTTCTTTTCTTTTCTTTTCTTTTCTTTTCTTTTCTTTTTCTTTCTTTCTTTTTTTTTTTTTTTGCAGAACCGGGGATTGAACTCAGGCCCTTGTGCTTGCCAGGCAAGTGCTTATTCTACTGAGCCATCTCCCCGGCCCCTAACCTAGTAATTTCTTAACACCAAACAAATGTGCGCCTGACCAGCACGATGCTAACACAGTACAGCGCTTGGCCAGGGAATCAATCACTGTAATGACAGCCAAAAGAGCAGGGAAGGTTGGGATCAGATGGAATCTGGCTATAGTGCTTCGGGGCTTGGAGGATTAGTATCACGGGAACACACACACACTCACACTCATGCACACGCACAGTCACACACACACACGCATGCATGCACACAGATAGACACGCACCAGGATTGCTGCTGTGGCTGGTCCTGGAACCACATTTTGAGAACCACTGGCCTAGATTTTTGCATTTTACTGAACAAAAGTACTACCTATTTCACATGACCCATTACTCGTGCAAATCTCTTTTTGCTAAATTTATAAAAAGTACGTCCATAACCATTTTCTACTGTAGTCTTCTATAAATCTATTTCCAAATATTCTAAAATGTTGCTTATTTCATATAATTGTTTAAATATTATACTGTTTTCTGCCCTTTGACAAAGGCACTTCTTTGTACCTCCTTCCCACGCTCTCGTCCTTTTCAATCCCTAATAGCTTTGTCACTTAGAGCTGAAATCCATCCGAAGGCTTTGAAGGAAATGGGGGTTGGGGTACAGGGCTCCTGCTCACACCAAGCTGAAGTGATCGCCCATGACTGAGATCCATAGTGGGGCGGGGAGGCAGAGGCCTGGGCTTGGGAAGGCTGAACCTCTGATAAGCTAAGTAGTCACCACCACTACTTTATGACTGATGTTGATTGGACAAGGATTGGATACTTCCCTTTTGCACAAACGGGACACACTTACACAGACTCCTTAAATCTTTATGTTCTTTTACTCAAGTGGTAAGTAGTATCAATTCTATTTCTGAAAACATGTTAATGTACAATATGAATGACCTAGGCCTTCCAAATAACTTTTACAGCCATTTCTGAGAGTTCCTTATTAGTAACCATATTGAATAGCTCTAGGTATTTGGACAATTTAATCGACCGTCAGCTACTAACCACATTGATAAAGGTTTTTTTCTATGCTCTGGAGCTGGCTGTCAGGAAATCTGGCCTGTCCATTGTGAAAAATACACTTCTACAACTAGTCCACGTCTAATATTCTGCAAGTAGAATGTCATTCCTTTGGCATAAGGCTTTTCCCTGTTAAAATGCAAGTGACCCTCAAAGAAGTAGCATTAAGCCTTATAATCTCAAAGTAAGTAAATCTATCTCTTTCCTGAGAGCAGGTTTTTCTTAGGGAGGAGGAGAACAAAGTAGGAGGCACTGAGGAGGGTCGATGCTAGGATGCTCACTTTCTCCCCAGTCCTTGCATCCTAGCAAAGGCTTCTAGCAGTGAGTAGAAGAGATAGCAATTAAATATTTGGTCTGAAAACAGATAGTCACTCCCCTCTCCAATAAGAAGAATGAGACCTGGAAACAGGAAAACTGATGTTATGGAGGGCAAGTCACAGGGCAGGGGCAAAGGTGAGGCTCCTGCACAGCCCCAAGAGCAGGGGCCTCCTTAAATTTTGCATCTACAATGCCTTGCTCATCTCACCTTAATCCTGGCCCTGGAAGCTCATAGTAAAGTGAAAGCTCACCATTGTGTCACAGATTTGGCAAACATGGAAGGGTGAACCAGTGGTAGGTACAGAGAAATGGCAAATTGGATCTGTATTGGTCTATCTAGTTAAAATGGATGTCAGGAAAAATGCTTCTTAGGAAAGCCTTGGAACCTCTCCCAACTCTGCCCATTCCAACTGTGGTCTTTAAGTTAATGGGGTCTAGCTGGCTGCCTATGGCCTTGTCTCCTTCATGAATGAGCTACTGGCTGGCGATGAAATTCATTGGTATTAGAGCTGAGAGGCCAGGTGGGAGCCAGGCCAGCAAGGAAAGATGCCAGCGAGGCTTGCTGTTGTATGGAGGACTTGCTCTCCACCACCCACATCTGAACCACAAATATGTAAGGGATACCCACCAAGTTCAAAGCACTCTTAGTGACCAAACCACTGCTTCTGCTAGGGATGGCTTCCTCTATTCCCAACTCCAATGAAGCCAATCTAGCATAGTCAGCTGCTCTATAGGTTGGAAGTGAAGGGAAAAAAGGGCATAGCAATGAAGTAGAAGCTGACCTACTGGGGCCAACTTTTCTTCCCTTCAACTGCTTATGTATTTCACCTTGAAAAATTATTCTCATCGTTATTTGTTACCAGTAGTAGCTTCTCTGAAAACCTGAGAGGGGCTTTTGTACTCCCTTCGCTAGCCTTTATAGGCAGAGTGAACCCAGAAGGCAGTAAACACTCTGATAAGTGCCTAGGTGGGAGAGAGAGTTGGTGTTTTGATAATTGAGGACACGGAGAAGTTGATCATTCGAAGGAGGAAAGATGCTTGGTGTTCTGTTAATCAATGATTGTTAGTAGCTTGTTTGGAACAAGGCGCACCAATGTAGGATATCAAATGAGTGTTGCTAGTCCTCATTGTTACTTCTGATTGTACAGTCTGTCCTGAATCCTCTTATACTAATGGGGACACCACTGGGCATGTGATAGTGATAGCAGTGATGCAGAAAAAGTTCTAAAAATTCCAGGCACACAGTTTTGAAGAAGAAAGCCAGAATGAGAAGGTAAATGAAAAGCATCAGGGTGTCTGGGTGCTTAGCTTTACAATGTTGAGGAACTCTCCAGAGGCGGCAATGTGAGGGGAGAGGGCAAACTCACTAGAAGTGACAAGGGGCTTCCAGAAAAACTCAGCAGAAGTAACAGAGTTCCTATCCTACGGGAGTCCCAAATTCTCATACTTTAGAGTTCAGTTACAGGTAATTTGCAATGGTTCCTAAATCACCGTGGCAGCCTCAGGATTTTATTAGGCAAAAGTACAAATGCCGCTTCATTTCCCTACAGAGAAAAGTGGTTTTGTCTTTTGGAATTCTGAGTCTGTGCCAGGTAAGTGTGGCATTCATGTATACACCAAGGCTGGGAATGAATCTGTTTTATTTCAGGCCAAACTTCTGAAATTTAGTTAAGATCTTCAAAACAAATAGCTCAAATACTTTCAAAAGCAACTGGGCTTTCCTTATTATTTGTCTATTATTTTAAATGGCTTCTTTCTAAACCAGGGTAAGTGCTGATTGTAGAGACAATTGGTGGGCCTGGACCAACCAAGGGCCTAGGCCTGTAATATCTCTGTGAGAAGCCCACATCTTCTAAGAACTCACTGTGGTTTTTCAGCTGTTTTGCCTGCCTGGAGTACTGGTACTTTAACTGAGCATGTTCTTTTCATTGATGACAAAAATGACCTACCAAAACTGAGATCGGCTTGTCTCCACAACCTGAATGCAAATGAATCTGATGATTTCAGTGGTGAGAGAGGAAAGGGTGGGAGAAGCTAGTTACGATTTCATTTGAGTTTTCTTTTTACCTCTTGGGATGAGTAGACAATTAACTTTCTAACACTGGTCAGCAGGTTTGTCTTTATTAATTACTTCATCTGTCTGACCCCAAAATCCCAGAAATCAGGCATATGGAAATCAAATGAGTTACTGCTTTTGCTGTCTTTAGAAAACTGAGATAGCAAGAATAGTTAGGCGTCTATTAGCTTTGGAAGAGAGAAGGGTCACAATGGTTGTTCTGGAACTTCTTCCACATCCCATGTACCTGAGTTCTTACACTGTCTCCCAGAATGATTAACTGAAAAGTGCTCAGCACAAAGTGGCCCTTTTTTGTGTGTCTCATGGGCCATGGCAACTGGCAAAGCTGCCTTTTAGATTCTGGGTAGATACTTCTAGCCTCTAGGTTCTTGGGTTTTGGAGTATCAGACAGCCTTTAATCAAAATCCAACCAACCACAAAACACTATCTCAACTGAATAATGTGAAGCAAGATGAATTTAATTTCTATCCTCCTTGAGCTTTGATGATGCTGATCCATCAGCTAATTACTTCCTATAATGAATGTTACATGCAAATGGAATAAGAGTCCTCAGGATGTAACATAAGCTAGGTACAGATCCTAGGAGACACCTGAAAGACCTCAAGGAGCATGAACAAGTGGCAAATTGCTTGCACAGAGCTGAGCGACCGCATGGCTGCCTCATTTGTTGGCCAAACTTGGTTCATCCAAAGCCATGCAGTTCTAATCTCTTGTAACTAACAGGCAGTGATGGCAGAGGGGCGGGGGTCAGTCTACAAATGGATTGAAACTCATCACCCTGATCTCCGTGTAGACAATCAAACTGAAAAAGGAACGAAGTTTCAGGACAGGGTCATATTCATATTTTGTACCACAAAGGTCATGTGATCGACCCCATGCTGAAACGTGCACACCAGGGAGACTCTCCCTGGAGGAGAATCCCACTGTGGTTCAGGAGCCTTGGTGTCTTTCTGTGTCACTACAGGTGACCATCAAGTCGCCCCCAGGACAGTGAGTGATCAGCAATGATACCCTCTGCCCAACTCCCGGGGTTGCCAACCCCCGATCTCCTCTGCCACTGTGCTCAGTGACAGGAGCCAGGGATGGAACAGCCAGGACACAGATTGAAAAGGTGGCACATGAGCCCTTGCATCTGAGCATTTCTTCTTTTTTTAGTGCACACCAGTGGAGGAAAAGGAAGAAAATTGGTCTTCAGTCACGGCAAGGGTGAAAGTACGGATATGCAAAGTGTCCAAAGGGCTGATAACCTCAGCGCTAGTCAAAACGGCCTCTCTCCTGCCATTAAGAGTGTAAGTTAAATCAAAAAAAGCAGGCTCTTTTGTTATTCCTATGGTTCCTTTCCCAAAGCCTTTCTATTCCCCTTGTCAAGTTTAGTAAGTGAGCTCTGCTTGTTGAAGCCAGGGCTTAAGAACTGGGGTTATCGTTGGTTTCACAGTCATTTGAAAACTGGGCAATGATTCTCCGTGCCAGTGGGTTAGTGGTCTTCAGCAGTTCAGCTGCTGAGGGCCGGGACCTTGGAGTTGCCTTACTTCCCTTCTTCTGGAGCAAGGCCTTGAAATCCTCGTTTCTGCCTGCGTCGAGGCTGGAACTGCTGCCTGATCCCAAGGCGGTGGTGGTGGCAGCGGCAGCGGCAGCGGCAGACTCACTAATGGGAGAATCGGCCGTGTTCTTTCCTGGCGAGTGAGAGCTCGGCCGGCCTCCTGCAAAGCCAAGCAGCTTTCTCTTGGACCTAAATAAGAGAAAGCTTGGTCTGAGTGAATTCAAGTAGCAGATACATACTAATGTTTCACAGAACTTTCTGTGAAAGGTGTGACTGAGAACGTGCTTATGGCCACCCTGAATACATCATGGGGACAAAGCTTCTTCCTCACCTCTAAGCCCCCAGGTCCCTAGTTGGGCCTCCTGTCCTCTACACTCCTTTTGTCTTTTCTTGCCTTTTTTGACATGAGGTCTCCTTCACTATGTTGCTCAGGCTGGACTCAAACTTCTAGGCTCAAATGATCTTTTTGCTTGAGTCTCCAGAATAGCCAAGACTGCAGGTATGTGGACGTGCCGCCACTCCAAGATACCTCTACCTTTCAGCACTCAGAGCTGGAGTCACTTGCCTGTGCCTGCAGGCTAGGTCTTGATGGGATTCCAAGACTAAGGACAAATTTCAGGAATCAGGTGGGTGCTCAGTGACCTAGTCAGGACAGCCTGGGGGCTGATCCCATTCTGAGCTGGTACTCCATCTCCAATAACGAAGACTCCTTCCAGGTCCCTTGCCACCAAGCCCCTGCCTGTGCCCCTGTGTTCCACAGGCTGTCCCATACCCTAAATTGCTGTTTGGATATCCCACCCAGTGCCTCACATCACTGCTGGATGGGATTTTGTGGTACAAGAAATTCTGTGAAGGGTTAAATGTCTCTGACTGCAGACAGAGCTGTGAGGGAGCAGATGGAGCCACAATAGGCCAAGCAGTTGCTAGGAGACGAGGGGCCTCTCTTTCGGCACCTGGTCCTCCCCTCCCCTTTCCTCCCCTCCTCCACTTTACCCAAAGATGTCAGTGAATTTGAGATGTGAGGCCCCGCACTGTGCTCCCATGCACTGTGCTCACATATTCGGGTATCTGAGCATAGGCTCCACTTGCAATTGTAATGGCTGCTCAGGGGTAGCAGTTTTCCTTTAAGTAGAAAAAGGGAAGGCAATTGTAATTAGAATTAAGGAAAATGGCTCAGACCTGTGAATCACAGTAAATAAATCTTCAGTTGTGCGTGAAGCCACAAAGACATCATCCTCCTCCTCCGCAATCCATTCGGCTGTTTTATCACTGATTAAACTTTTCTCTTCAGCACTCGGTTCCACAGAACTCCCTAGGCATAAGAATCAGAAGGCATAACCCTGACCACAATAGATTGGACAAAGCAGGTTCATTTTTATGTGTTATTTCACATAATGTCCAAGGCAACTCTGGAAGGGCAGCAGGGCAGAGATTTTAATGTGTTCATTTTGTACAGGAAGAACATGAAGTTCAGAAGCTTAATGACTGACAAAGGTGGGGTGAGTGGTGGGGACTGGTCTCAGTCCCAGCTCCCCCACGGCTGCTGCGGCACGGCAGGTGGTCTGGGCAGTCTCCTATTTTATTTTTGTTGATTTGCTTATTTTGGCACTATGGGGGATGGAAGCTAAGGCCTCACACATGCTAGACAAGTGATTGTCTTCTGAACCACCACATCAGTCTCTCTTGATTTGGATACATTGTTTTAAAAAGCTGAAGAGCTGAGAACAATCTAGAGCAACGACTGCCTCTCATCCACTGGAGGAGAAGCCGACCTGTCCGGGGCTACCTGTGGAGTCCAAGGAGGCATATTCTAGAATCCTCTGTGGATATTTCGTGGTGGTGGTGGTGGTACTAGGGTTGGAGCCCATGCTCAGCCCTTTTTGTATTTTTATTTTTTAATTTCCCACAGGGTTGTGATAGGTCACTAAGTTGCCCAGGATGTTCTCAAAATTGTGATCCTCCTGCCTCATCTTGCCGGAGTGCTGGGATAACAGGTGTACACCACCATACCTGGTTCTGTGATCTTGTTGGGTTGTATTTATTTATTTATATTTGCAGTACTGGGGATGGAGCCCAGGGCCTTGCACTTCCTAGGCCATTGCTCTACGGCTGAGCCACACTCCCAGGCCCTGTTTTAGTTACAATGATTATACTGCGAATCCAAATCAGCTTAAGAAAGGTCAGGAGATTTTGATGGTAAGGGTTGAAAAACAATGAGAAATATGGATGAGCCTTTGAAATAAGCAAATCATAAAAAAGGACAATATTGTTACATGAAGCACTCACAGTCAACTTCATAGACTCAAAACGCAGCATGGTGGTTGCCAGAGCCTGGGAAGGAGGTTTGCTTAATGGATAGAGGCTTGGACTTTTGCTAGGTGAAAGGAATTCTGGAGGTTGCTTGCCAAACAGTGTGAATATACTTAACACCAATGAACTGTGCATTTAAAAATGGTTCTCTGGGGGCTGGGGAGATAGCTCGGCAGTCTAAGTGCCTGTCTGGCAAGCACAAGGACCCAGGTTCGATCTCCAGTACCACATGCTGTGCCACCCCCAAACCCAAGTGAGTCTGGCCGGCTACTGAAACTGGGCGTGGTGGCACATGCCTGTAATCCCAGCCCTGGGGAGGCTGAGACAGGAGGATCACTAAGAGGCCACGCTCTGTAGTAAGACCCTGTACCAAATAAAGAAAATAAAGATTAAAAGAAGTTTTTTAAAAAAGGTTCTCTGGGTAAATGCTATGTTATGTATTTAATGATTAAAACAAAGTCGCAAACAAACAAAAAGGATGAGAACCATTAAGTAACCTACTTTTATAGTTCTAGAAAGAGCTAACCTCAAACTGTCCACGAAAGTGAGCTTCCTTTCTACTATCACGCACCAAGGAAGGCTTTGGGTGGCACCATGGCCTATTGTTCCGAGCTACCAAGGAGCACCAGGTCTGCAAGGGGACTGTGTCCTGTGCATGAAAGTAAGTTCAGCTGGCTGATGAAAAGCACAGTACAGCCAAGTGGAGCCTCAGGGTAGGGGATGCATGCCTGGCTGGGTAGATGGGCCCTCAAGTCTTAGTGTGTGAGGGTCCAATTTGATTTCATTATCTCAGCACTTGAATCAAGAGTAGACTGGCTCAGATTCTTTTTTTAATCAATCAAGTTTAATGTCAAAAACTATTAATAGTACAGTCTTAATAATACTATTTATACAGGCATAGGAGTCCCTGGCACACAGATGTACAACAAATGTTAATTTACCATAAGTCTATTCGTGACCTTAGAAATATTTGGAAAATGTGAGAACAAGTTAAATGTTGCCTTTCCATTTTTAAGCTTGCATTTAAAAAATACAAATGCAGTTTAAATTGAAAAGCTTAAACATAATAGCACACAGCTTGAACCTTTGGGCACAGGTAACTACTTATAAAGCATCATCACTAAAAATATAAATGTAGGGTTTTTTTTTTTTTTTTTTTTTTTTTTTTTACTGGGAATCAAACTCAGGACCTCATGCCTGCCAGGCAGGTCTTGGGCCACTGAGCTGTATTCCCAGCCCCACAAACGTGGTTTAAACAGATCAATACATGCACCCTTGGGCACAGGCAGCTCCCAGCAAAGATCATCACTGCCCATGTAGCAGACCCTGAGTGGCTGCAACTGGGCCTTGCGGATCTGTCTCTGGTCAGTCCTGCTCCCGAGGACATGAAGGCCACCCTGCAATTCCTACTAGAGTAACCGAATCCTTCAAGAGGTGTCCCCTACTGATCTGGTCATCCTAGGATGAGGATAATTATTCTGGGGCATTTGCTCCTGTCTCTGACAGTCCCTCCTCACCTGTGTCCCTCTTGGGTTGAAAGAGAAGGCCAGCAATAGCTTACTCACCTGGAGAGCTTGCCTCCTTTCCACTGTCCATCTGTGGAGCTGAGGTCGTCCTCTTACCAGGTAACTGCAGGTCACTGCTGGTGGCAGGACATTTGGCATCTTCCTCCAGGGTGATGATGGGGCTGAGAAGCAGCCTTGCTTCTGCCATGGGGGGCTCCATCTGAGCTCCAGGGGAGGCAAGAGGCAGGTAGAGCACACTGGGCTTTTTTGGTACAGGAGGTGGAATCTTGCCTATCTTTTTCTCAGCTTCTTCCTGGCTCTGGAGGCTAATTCTTTCTGGCAAGGCTCTCCCCTTGGGGCCCTCATCCTCCATACTTCCTCGGGGAGGCTGCTGTGTTCCTGAGAAGAAAGCACCAGAGGAACTTGCAAAAGGCGTGAGGACAAGAGATGAGGGCGTTGCTGACTCTCCTAGGCTTCTGCCATCTGGGAAGCTGGGGGGCTTTGGTTTTCGCATCACTGTGTGGCTTTCTTGGAGTGGCTTCACGTGGTGAATGGTACTCTTGGGGGCCGTGGGCAAGGTAGGCAAAATTAGTGGGTATTCCTCAGGGACAGACGGTGGCTTGTGGATCAAGCTTGGAGGCCTTCGGGCCAGTGGAGGCTTCTCAGCTATGGGGGGTTTCACTTTTCTCTCTGGCAAGGCAAAGACTTCTTCTGCTCCAGGTTCTTCAGTGTAGTCTGGGCTCTCAGTGTCATCTTCTGGCTCAGACTTACTGACTGATCGTAGGCGAACAGAACGTAGGTCAGACTGAGTAACCATGGGCATGATCGGCTGGTTGGGGCTAGTTTTCTGTGCCAGCTTGGCCCCAAAATTGGCATCTGAGTGATGGCGGCTCACCTTGGTTTTGCTGCGGATGGATATACTCAGCCCAGACAGATCCAAGGTGGTTGAAGAGGTCAGTGGTAGGTCAAATGACAGCCGTGACTTGGCCATTTTCTCCATTGGTGATGTTGGGGGTAGTGATGATTTCCTTTCAGGTACCACTGGACGTACCCTGACACTGCTGCTTGGTGGGGGTAAGTGGCCCAGGGTCAAGGACATAGAGACAGTGGGTGTTGGAGTCTCAGACTGGCTGGAGTATCCACTGGAGGGTGACATCAGTCCAGTGGGCCTTCCTGGAGAGGAGACCTCCCTGGCCTCCACCTCAATGGAGAGTTGGGAAGGTGTAGTGGCTCTGGAGGTGGAAGGAGAGGCAAGGGACTCTGAGCTTCCTTGAACTTGGGTGCACTCAATAACTGTGGTGCCAGTGGCAGTGCTAGAGCTGGACAAGGATTGGTAGGTGTCACCAGACTTCCAGTCAGTTAGATACCAGTGATGGGAGAACTGTGTACCTTCTGGATCTTTGAAGGTTGGCGCAGCTGGGTGACCCTGAGTGTCTGGGTGGGATGAGTGATGTCCTTGATGTTCCAAGGAAAGGCAAAGGCTCCTTGGCCTTTGGTCTTTAGGCAATGCAGACCCATCTTCTGGCAAGAGGACTGGCTCGTCTTTGACCAGTGAGACACTGCGGGTCGGTGGGGAAGGCTTCTTCTTGGCTTTCCTGAGGGAGATGCTCTTGGACCTCTGCCTTTGGTGCCGGGCCTCCTGCTCAGCACTGAGGGAGGCAATGTTGTCAGCACTGTTGCTGCCCTCAGAGCTTGTACTGGCATAAGGCAGGGCACGAGCCTCACTGGCCTTCTGCTCCTCATCATACTCCTCATCTGTGGTGCCTGAATCTGTGGGCACGGACAGAGACCGCTCCCGGAATCTGCTGGCCCCACCTGGGCCTGTCTCCAGCCTCAGGGTACCACCAGCCAGAAGACCAATCTTGTGGGATCTTTCTGGTACTTGCCTTCGTTGGGTGGGGTGCTCAGGGTAGCTGGCTGTGCTACTACATCCTGCTGGATTATCACGGGTAACAAAGAGAGTAGCTGCCTCTTTAGGAACAAGAGGTGGGAGTGTGTTCACAGAGACCCAAGAATTTCCCGAGGAAGGACTTTTCCCACTTTCATTGACTTGGTTGCTCTGGTTGATTGCACTTGGAGTCATGTAAGTGAAGGCATCTCCCTTCCGGGAAGTGGAGAACGTCGATTCTGTTGGCCCATTGCAAGAGCTGGGGACACTGTACACCATTCCCACGCTCTCCATGCCAGGGGGATCTAGGCCACTGTGTGCCTGGTGAGGGTCCTCAGGCTCACTGGAAAGATTTTTCAGCACTGGTGAGGTGAGCTTTGGAATCCGAGTTTCCTGCCCAATGGTAACTCTTCCATGAATGACTTGTGGAGTAGAATGGCTGGGCCTGGTGTCTGAGGTGGTAGAGCGAGCCGCACTGCCTGCTGGGCTGCTGCTGTGACCTGGAGGGGGAAGTATGGAAGGTTAGCAGTACAGCCAGGGCTCCCCCAGTGACTCTTTCAAGACAGGACCACCAACTTTTTGCCAAGAAGTATTTGTCAACAGATCAGTCAGAATTCCTGTGTTTCCTTGTCATAGATGAGAATGCTAAGCAAGTCCGAGTCCTGCCCATCACCACAAAGTGAGTCACATGGAGCCCTCAGGTCATCCACATACTGCCAAAGGCTTTCGAGTTAAGAGGCTTGGTTTTAGAGTGGAAGCATCCCGTGGAACTCCTTTGGGTTTTCCCTATGCTTCCTCCCCAGAGTCCTGAAACCATCACAGATCTCAGCATTAGTCTCGATATAACAACAGAGGCTTTGAAACTGACTGGGGACAGTATGGTGTCACCTTTGGCTCTAGCAGTGAACCTGGAGTGTGCCAGAGCAGGAACACGAACAGCCTGGCTATATTTCTGGCATCTGTCACTTAGTACCTTTGCAGCATAAAAAACTTAGGATAATCTATAGATGTGAGGAAATTATGCAGATAGTCCAAGTCTTCAGAGGTTCTCTCAGCTACACAATTATTGTTATATCAGCATCATTATTATTAATAGCCACCATTTGTTGAACACCAACTATATACCCAGGCATGTGGTAGTAGATTATCCAAATGGCTCTAATCTTCACAGTAACTCTACTATGACAGTATCATTGTTTCCAATTTGCAGATGAAAAAAGTTGAGGCTCAGAGCAGTTATGTAACTTGGCTAAGGCCTCAAGGGCAATAAGTAGCGAGGCCAAGATTCACAGCCCCTCTCTCTGGTCTATGCTTTTGTTTTGTAGTGCTGGGATTCAACAAAGGGCTTTGTGCACATGGGGCTATACTTCCAGCCCTTGTTCTGTTCTCTTAATAACAGTAGTAATCTCTCTCTCTCTCTCTCTCTCCCTCCCTCCCTCCCTCCATTGAACTCACTATATAGCACAGGGTGGACTTGAACTTGTGGCCATCCTTTTGCCTCAGCCTCACAAGTTCTGGGATCATAGGTGTGAGCCATCATGCCTGGCAAGAATTGGTTTCTTACAGTGTTGGTGGTCACTCCTGCTCCTGCTTATCTAATTGCCCAAGTTTGGCATATGTGACTATATATTACATTCTCTTTTTTTCTTTGAGACAGGGTCTCATTATGTAGTCTACACTGGGCTTGAACTCACTATGTAGCCCAGACTGGCTTTGAAAGGCCTCAGCCTCCCAAGTGCTGGGATTACAGGCATGTACCACTATGCTAAGTTTAATTATATTTATATTGACAGACAACGATGGGATGAATTTATTAGCCCAGGAATCCTGCTTTTCACCATTTGTCACCCTTGACAGGAGGCCCTTGGCTACCTTAATTGCCATAGTGGCTTCCTTCCAAAGCCCCATCCCCCAAAATTATTCTTATTCTCCATCACCACAAAGTCACTTGTGTGGCAGGGTATGTGGGAGTGGGGAAGGGTAAGGGTCTGAAGGATCAGCTGTGGTGGGGTCACCTTGGTCTCGCTGGGAATAGTTAGAGAATCCAATAATGGTCCGCCTCCTCCTCAGGGTGGACTTGGGGTTCACGGCTGTCTCTGTGTTAAACAGCGAGTGTCGCAAACTTGCATGTTTATCAAACTGCTGCCCTGTAGCCAAAATAAAGACACCGGGGTGTATCCTGGTTTCTGCTGAAAGTATGGTAGAAATGGGCCTGAGGCAGAGAGAAGGGGTGATGGCAGCAGCGATGGGCATGAATAAAGGCCAGGCAGGTGGCGCTTCCCCCATCCTTCCTAATCTCACCCTAGGCATGCATGTTAGGTTTCCTAGACCACACTCCAGTCACCTGTCTTAGGAGGAATGGGGCAGTGGTTCATACTGAAATAATCTGGGTGGCTCTTGAAACTCTAACTCCTGAATCCTACTTCAAAACATTTAACTTGCGAGAGTAGGGCCTTGGTAGAAGAATTCTAGAAGTTTTCAGATGACTATTTTGATGAGGAGCCAAGCGTGCAAATCATCAGTGCAGAGTGATGGGCTGAGACTAGGTGTTGCTTGAATGTGACCTTTCTTTAGCTAAAGTCTTTATAGGAACCAAGTAAGGCTTGTGTCTCTAAAAAACTGCCCAGTGCCCCCACCATCCAAGAAGCTAGATGAGATTCAGTGTCACAGCCACCTGGCTCACATTTTACCAGAGTTGGCTGCTGCATGGTGATCAAATCCTCTCTCGCCTAAGCACTGGGGTGGCCTTTGGCTCCCAGGAAATTGCCAGGGCAGTCAGGGTGAGGCTGAGCCGTGGAGACACTGTGTGCTCTTCCTCTCTGGTACTTATTCAGTGAAGCAGACTCTCCCCTCACAGACATGACTGTGCCCACCCCTGCCAGCAACTCTATGGGCAAAACTTGGGGTCCACCTCAGTAGGGGTGAGATAGCTGTTTAAAAGCAGAGTGCCCAGCATCACTTGGTGACTCTCTCCTTATCATCCCCTATTCCTCATGGGACATTTACCTGGGCCACGGGCTCTACTTCCTGCCTATTATTTTCTGAGATGACTCTAGAGCAGAGGATGGCCTGCTCTAGAGCAGAGAGCATCGCCACATGTGGCCAGTGCTATCCTCATTGTCCTGTACTTTCTCCAGCGTAGCATGGGCTAGTGCTGCCTTGCAGTCTACCTCTGGCCCCTGTGGGTTAAGGAGGTCTTGATTTCTTCAGCTCCTTGGTCTTATACTATTCTGGTGTCACTCAACTTCTTTCTCTTTATCTACAGCCAATGGAGGGGAGCAGGGATGAGTAATTGCACAGTGGGCCATGTGTCCCCAGTCAGCCAGCTGGGCTGGGCAAATCACTTCTCTGTTCTCAAGGTCATCCTACCCCTCATCCAACAAGTCTTGCTATGTGGCTCAAACTGGCCTTGAAATGGTAGTCCACTAGCATCAACCTCTCAGGTGCTTGGACTACAAGTGTGTGCTACCACACCCTGCCCCTTTTGGTCTTTTCCCCCCTTAGCTTCTTCTACTACTTCCCTTTCCTGAAAAACCTGAGAAAGCCCACCTAGTATTCAGTGAATGGGCCACAAGGCCTGTAGTCTGTGCCCCAGTGTCACCTTCCCCTTTATCTCTAGCACAATGCCTCTGTTCCCTGGCATGAGCCATGACAGTGACAATGCAGGGTGAGCCAGCAGCAAAGAGTGGCCCTCCCTCCCCAGCACGTGACATGCTTGGAGAAGATGGGCTAGAGTGGCATGGAGGGAAGCAAACAGGTTGTGTTGAGCAACTCTACCAGAAATGTTGATGGGCACAAGGTCAGACTGCGTGGAGCAAGGTGGAAGCCACCGCTTCTCCTCTAGGCTGGGCAGAGGGAAGGGGCCATTCCAGGCAGTTTGCTTGTCGGTTGCAGACAGGCTCAGGGTGGCCTTGGGGGCCCTCACACCCTGGGTGGTAGTCTCATCCTCACTCAGCTGCCGTTTTGCAGGCTGCAGGAAGAAAAGGTGAGGGAAAAAGTCTGCTGCCAGCTACTGATGAGCCGGTGCCCACAAGATGACGACTTAGGCAGTGGTCAGAAGCTTCATCTGGGAGACAGGAAAATGTGGAAGGCTGCCTGGCCAGGACCCACTCTGCAGAACCCATCCCATGGGGCTTCTGGGTGGCTCTGTGGGCGAGCAGAGGTGAGCAGCAGCTTCCATGGGTAAGGTAAGCAGCTTAAGGGCCCTTGTCAGTGGGTGCAAGCTGGCTCTCCCGGGTAGGGGAAGAGGCAACTCACCATCAACACAAACTCCAGACGCCTGGCAGACTGGAGCCTTGGGCTGGGGGTGGGTTCAGGGGCCTCATCAGAAGAGCGGAAGGTCTGCCCCAGAAGTCTGGCCTCTGAGTACTGTTCCTCATATTCTTCTGAAAAATAGCACAGTGGAGACACAGTCTAGGGGGCTGCAGCCAAGCACTGAGCTGGGGAAGACCACGAGGTGCCAGGCCTGACTTGTACTGCTTCCTTGGGCTCTTTCTCAGGGTCTGAGCCACTGAATTTAGAAAGGGAAAACTGCCTGGTGCGGAGGATTGTGAAGGTAAAGGAAAAAAGAAAGTCAATAAATTCAAGCCGTGCTGCATTGGGGACGAAGCTCTGATCTCAATGGTTCCCACTTGAAGTGCTCACCTCAGAGCACAGGCCAAGGATACAGATACCTTTCCTTACAGGGTTCTCTTTGAACCCCTGCATCTTTTCAGGTTTTCAGCAATCCCACTAAGAAAATGGTTTGTGTGAAGCAAGAAGAGATCTTCACTGGGAAATCCAAGCTAGAACTCTCTTGTGGATCACAAGAACCCTTACTCGAGTTTTGGCAGGCCAGATTCCACTGTGGGTGGGGTCAAGTCTAGGCAGGCTGAGGGGAAGGAGAGGAAAGGAGAATATAGTGGTATAGAAGAGGGAGAAGTTCTGGGGTGACATCGAGGAAGAAGGATGTATAAAAATTGAATGGGTTTGACTGAAGCAATGGCTGGATGAATAAATGAAGAAAGTGAGAATAAAGTACAAACATTTATGGCTTTATGTACATTTGGACAAAGACTGAGAATCATAGAAACTTGGGATTGCTCTCAGGTTCTATGGTCTCCACTCAGTCTCCCTCCTCAGCAGCTGGGTATTTTCAGCTCTGGGTGCTCTTCTAGCCTCTGTGCACACACCTACAAAGGAGGGGAAATCCTTCCTTCCACAGATAGTTGGGGCTGTCAACCATGTCAGAAAAGTTCTTTCTTATCTAGAGGTGAGATCTGGCTCCCTCTGGGTGTCTACCCACTGGTCTCTGTCTCTGTGTCTCTCTGTCTCTGTCTGTCTCTGTCTCTCTCTCAATGTCTGTCTGTCTGTCTGTCTGTCTCTCTTCTGTCTTTCCCCCCATGGCAGCTCCTCCTCATCTGAACACAAAGCTCATGGTGTCCCTCAGCATCTTGCCTCTCTAGGGTCCGTACTGCCCTGGCAAGGAATTTGGGGGTTTAGGCTGTAGTTCAGATGGCAGGCCCATTGGCTAGATCCTGTTGTTCACTGGTATTAACCTTTGCTGATATTAGAAAAACAAGAGCTGAGACCTCTTTATGCCTTTAGATTCACTGGGTATCTCAGTGCCAGGTGCTTCTGGAAACCTGAGGTAGTAAGAGACATGTTGGTTTGTTTATTGAGGTGTTGGGGCTGGACCGAAAGGCCCTGAGCACGTTACCACTGAGCTACACAGAGAATGTTAGCATGGTTAGGTCAATAGGTGAATTCTGGGTGCTGTGTTGGACTCAGATGGGAGAGGGAGTAGCTACCCAGGAGGCAGATGGACAGGATTCTTGCAGGAGCAGAGTGAAGTTCACAGAAGAAAACCCTGCCTTCACTCCCTTTGTCTCCTGGTGCGAGGATCTGTAAGGGGGACCCAGCAGGAGGGCCAACACGGTGGGAGTCTCCCACCCAGCATCCGTTGTGGTGGAAGGACTGACCCACTGCCCTGACAGCTTCCACCCTTTGCTCTCACGGTTCACTGAACTGAAAAAACGAGGATGTGGGAAACAGCCCTGGAAAGGAGTTTTTTTTTTTTTTTTTTTGGTTGTTGTTGTTTTTGTTTTTTGTTTTAGAATCATCAGCCTGGAAGCTGAAGAGAAAGGTGGCAAACGCAAGCTTTGTTTCTCGAAAGGCTCAGAACTGTTTTGTGTCGCCGGCTCTAGCCTTTTCTTTGCTCCCTCCTTCTGCTGCGCAGCTCAGCTCCTCGGCTCGGCCGCAGCCCCCCTCCCTTTCAGTACCTTGCAACAGGCTCTGGAGATTGAGCTGCGCCTCGCGAAGCAGCTCCTCTACACTCGGGGGCCTGCCTGAGGAGAGGAACACGTTCACTGGCTGTCGCCATGACGACCTCGAGTGGGCAGTCGCTGTCGCATTTTCCCGACCCGAGTTAGCTGCAGCTAGGGAAGGAGAGAGTCAGTGAGACGAGCAGTCGAAGCGGGGCCGGCCTGGGCCAATGGGTGCCCGCGCTTCCCGAGGCCCCGCCCCTGCACCGGGGGTGGGGGGGGGTCGACGCAGGGCTTAAAAGGCGGGGGAGCGGAGCCCGCAAGGTTTTTCCTCGACAGATCCTGCCGCAGTCTGTTCCCTCTCAACCACTCGTCTGCTCGCCTCCTCCCGCCGCCTTCGCCTTGCCTGTGTCGTCCTCCGCCCGGAGCCTTCGGGCGGCCCTCCGCCGTCGCCTGCCTCTCCACGCCTGGCCTCGAGGTAAAGCGTATCGGGCCGAGCCTCCGGGCCCGGGCCCCAGCGCCCGCCCTCGTCCTCGCCCTGGTGGGTGTGGCCGCTCGGTCGCAGCACCCGGTCTCCCCTCGCCCGCCGCCGCCGCCGCCGCCGCCGCGTTTCACCTCTTCTCGCGGCCCTTAGCTCCCCACCCCCACCGCCTGAGCCCCGAGACCCCGACCTAGTCACGATGGCCGAGGCGACAGGAAATCTCAATAGCCTTCGCATGGCAAACGTAGCCTTGCGAGAAGAATTAAATGCCCTTCGCGGCGAGAATGCCAGTTTGGGCCTTCAGCTTGGAAGAGCCCTAGCCGAGGTTAATTCCTTGCGGGGCAATGTCTCGAGCTTCATCCGCTGGCCAGTGCCCATAGTGCCTGTCCTGGCCGAGGACAACTTCGAGTTCCCGCTCAATGAGATGGACACCATGTCCGAGGGAGAGGTGCCCTTCCTGTGCTGGCCTCCCCCGCGCACAGACTCCGAGTTTGTCTCGAATGATCTTTTGATTAACGTGGTCCAAGACTATACCACCCCTGATGGGTCTGTGGAGCCTCCCCTGCCCCCCAGCCCGCCCCCTCAGGAGCTGCCTGCGCCGGCGCCAAAGGAGCCGCCCCCACAGCCCTTTCTGCCACCCCTGGAGCGGCCTGACATAAAGCCCTTTTCGGGCAACCCAATCTACCTGGCCCAGTTCCTGATGCGGCTAGAGACCTTCATAGCTGACCATGAGGATCATTTCCCTGGGGGCGCCGAGCGGGTGGCCTTTCTGATCTCCTTTTACGCTGGAGATGCTAGGGACTGGGCGATCTCGGTCACCCAGGAAGGAAGCTCCCTGCATGCCAACTTCCCGCGCTTCGTGGATGAAACCCGTAAGGAATTCGGTGGCCACATCCCCCCACGCATGGCTAAAAGGGCCATCTGCAAGCTCAAGCAGGGAGACTGTACCCTCGGCAGCTACGCCGATGCTTTTCAGTACCTGGCCCAGTTCTTGGCTTGGGATGACTTACGCCTCCAAAACCAGTTCCTCAAAGGCCTGTCGGAATTCCTCCGAAAGGAGCTCTTATGGTCAACTGAAATGGCTGACCTGGATGAGCTGATTCTTGAATGTGTGGAGATAGAAAGAAAAGTGCGTGTCCCTAAGCCAGCCCCGGCCCCTGAGTTTCACGATGTCGTTTTCTCTTATGATTCAAACCCTAATGAGGATGAGATTGGAGGGGAAGAGCGCTACAGTGAGAATGAGGATGGAGAGGCATGCAGGAGTGGGCTTTATGACCAGCCAAAGCACATGAGAGTTTCCAAGCAGGAGATAAAGGAAGCGGAGGAGGAAGAGGAGGAGGAGGAGATAGAGGAGATAGAGGAGGACGAGGAGGAGGAGGAGGAAGAGGAGGAAGAGGAGGACGAGGACGAGGACGAGGACGAGGACGAGGACGAGGACGAGGACGAGGACGAGGACGAGGATGAGGATGAGGAGATGAGGAAGGAAGAGGATGAGGAGGAGGAAGAGGAAGACTATGATGAGGAGAATGAGGAGGAGGAGGAGGAAGATGAAGAGGAGGAGGAAGAGGAGGAGGAGGAAGAGGAAAAGGACGAGGAAGAGGAGGAAGGGGAGGAGGAGGAAGATGAGGAGGAGGAGGATGAGGATGAAGAGGAGGATGAGGATGAAGAGGAGGATGAGGAAGAGGAGGATGAGGAAGAAGAGGAGGATGAGGAGATGAAAACCAAAGATGAGGAAGAGATGAAGAAAGCTGAGGGTGGTAATGCGAACAAGCGTCCGAGGCATGTAATGCATGAAGCGTGCAGGGGGATAACCCAGGAGCAGGCGAGGATGATGAGCTACAGTGAGCTGGAGGCACACTTTATGGCTCACCATCTTGATCACAGCCACGACCACCTGCAGCACCTGATACAGATGGAGCAGCCTGTTCTTGTTGATAATTCAACCCAGACCATTAGCTCTGCCTTATACTATCCTGAGAATTATGTGGATGAGCCTCTTCCTATACAGCCTATCAGACGGAGGAACCAGAATCGAATTCCACTTCTGGAGGGCCTTCCAGGGGCCAACTCGCTGTTCTACAACTCGCCACCAATGATTCGTCGTGCCAATCGCATGGGGCATCGCCATGTTCGAAGACGCCCCCCAGTGCTGTTCCGCCTCACTCCGAGACAGGCAGGCAACCGATCTCCTCATGGCCGAATTCGTGTGTGAGTGCCAGGACCACCTGGAACACACCCTTCTACTGCGTCCCCTGCCCCTGCTATTGCTGCCACATGTGCCCCATCTATTGACCAGTTCTTAAGGCATTCCAGACCTGTATAGCCCGAAGAAGACTTGCAGAATTCCAGACTGTCTTGCAACCTGACCAGAGAGTGACATATGTCCAGCCAGGGCCACCTGGGGAAGGAAGGACAACAATAGTTGTCCCATTGCACATACTCTGCTACTCAGTCCCGACACAGCTGAAGAGCAGGTTTCTGGGCCTGTCCCCATAGATGAACTGGTCACCCTTTCGTATTCCTTTCTAGTTTTCCCCAGCCCTCACTCTCCTGTGTTTCTTCACCCTGTGATTACAGTTTTATCCTTTGATTGGCTCACCAGGACTTCACCCAATGCCTCACCAATCTGCCCCAGTGATTAAAAGGACAGGCTACACTGAACTCCTAAAGCCACTGAGGCCATGTACTCAGTGAAACTGACGGTGAGCAGGATGGCACCAAGAAATGTACCTAGACGCCTATGCTTATTTTGTGCCATACTCCAGCTAAAGGGCCTGCAAGAGGACCCCACACTTAGCCCAGCGGGCAGCTTGACTAAGATTTGTCCCTGATGGACTGGCAACCTGGTCCTTTCCCAGCACCTGAGTTTACCTTCCTCCAGATTTCAGTAGCAGGCCCGTTGGACCAGCTTGGCCAATTCTGGGGCTCTCTCCTCTCACTGCACCGGCCTGACAGCCCCTGCGGCAGAGTTCAACATGTCAGCCTCCACCCCTTTTCTTGATTTTTGCCTAAAGAGTAGGCAGCCAGGGGTTGGAAATAGGAAGTGGAAGAGGTCACACAACTCAGTTTGACATTCTAAGGAGGGGATTTCTCCTTAGGGATGGAGGTCTGCCCCCATCGCCAGGCCTCAGACTGCAACCCAAGCCAAGGGTCTCTGCAGATGACTTTCTGCCCTTGAACTTTCAGAGGAGGCCCACTATGCTTTCCTTCCAGGACAGCCAGAGAGAAAGAGAGGAGAGAGGAAGACTGGCCTTGCAGAGACTGTACCCACTGCAGCCTCATGGCTAGGACTTCCCTGTGGTCCTCACAAGGGATCAGCCCCTGGCCTGCCACTGTGCATCCATTAAACACCAAGGCTGAAGGGTATGACTGCCTCCAAGGCACTCTAAGAGACCTGCTGCTCACCCCGGGTCCAGAAAACACTGCTTTTGCAGTGAAAAGCACACATTTACTATGTTAGCTCTGGCCACAAATTCCAGCCAAATTGGCAGCTGGCCCAAACTGCCCCGGACACTGAACTTCTGTGTGGTGCCTGGCACCTGGGCAAGTGCAGCCAAAGTGTCTGTGGCCAGAGGGAAGAAAACATAGTAAAAGAAGTTTCTGTTCCCTACTGGAGCGTGACAGGTAATCTCAGCCCAGCCTTAGGATATTGAGCGTGGAGGCCAGGGGAAGGAATTGGAGGAAGAGGAGTCCCAGCGAGACCCAGTCCTCAGACTGGTTTTGGGTGAGATCTCTATTCATCAGTAAGAGGTAAGATTCTCTTTTGTTTATCTGCTTTTCAATGGTGTTGGGTTCCTATAACCTGTTGCTGCCTTTTAAGAAGGTTCCCTAAAGACAAGAGTAATAAATAGTCATTGTAGAAAATTGGGAAAACTGAGAAAACCTTAAGGACAGACTATCCCTGGACATTCAGAAGCCCAGTACACAGATGCAAGCACTGTTAACACTTTGCTGTGTTTCCTTCCAGCATGTTCTCGAGGTGTCTTTTTCAAAGATGAGATCATCCTGGTAGTGCGCATTGGTGGGATCTAAAATGGCTGCCACCTTTGCAGATATGCACACTAAAGCATTTGTTTAAGCATCCTCCCAATCTGTTAACCCTAATTTGTTAACTACATTGTATAACTACACATTGATACTCCCACCAGGAGGGGAGTAAACAACCTTGTAAATAGTTTTGTCTGTTTTTCATCTTATATTCTCAGGAGGGAGCTCCGGAAGAGGAACTGCTACTCTTCAAGGCTGTGGACTCCTTTGCTGATGCTGACCCGCTGGCCCTGCCGCCCATGTGCTGGTGAAGAAGTGCAATGAACACGTCCCTTGCAGCCCCACTCCTGCGGAGCCATCGGCACAGGCCCTGCCTGTTCTCACCGTGAGCTCGTGTAGCCTTGGCCAGGAGAAAACAGAGGAGCAGTGAGCTGCTTTTCAGGCCTCTGGGGCAGAGGGGGTTGGGCTTCCCTTTGACCCTCTCCCAACTTTCCCAGATCTTCAATATCTGTTGTGATGTGACAGCCACATGAGCTGTAATAACCGTGGGCTTTGGGTGCCTCCTCATTAAGAGGGTAGAGGGTGGGGGGTGGGGGGTGGGGGTGGGGAAATGCATGCGGGGCTATGGAGGCAGCCCAGGGATTCCCAGGGAGGAAACTCCTCCAAAGTAAATGTGTTACTGTTATTATTGTGTTACTGTATTATTGTGTTGTGAAGATAAGAAGTTACTCTGTACGCTAATGCTTTCTCTCCTCAATAAAAATATAAAGGGTGTGTAAAGATGGCGTCTGTCTGTGTTATTGGGCAAATGTAGATGGGTGCCCAGTGGGCATGGGGTACGTTATCTAGGCATCGCAGCTGGATCAAGCCTAGCCCAGCAATCCCCACATGAGGAAACATAGACCCTGGGAGGCTCAGAGGATCTGTCTGCACTCCCCCAAATGTGTGGATGGTGGGAGTTGTTGGCAGAGAAATGGAATCACTGGACTTCTACAAAAATAGGATCCGTTCTGACACACACACACCTTTGTGAGGAGGGGAAGCCAGGTGGGGTGGCTAGGGAGGCCCCTTCCACTCTTCCACTTTGGGGCACTAGGTGGTGCTATGGGATACCAGTGATCTAGCTGGGGAAGATTTGGAAATAAATCCCCAGAGCAGTCTGTTCAGGGGCTCTTCCATCACCATCTCTCTGTTCCTCACAGGCGATGGCATGAGAAGAAACTAAATCTCACTCCCGGATATGATTGGATATTATTTCCTGGAGAAAGGGTGGGGATGCTCCTTGAGCCCCAATTACTTGGAAGTGCGATGCGGGACACTTCCCATGTCCCATCTTCTTTTACCCTAATAACTGTGCTGGGGGCAGGCACTGTTGTCACTCTCACATTCAAGGTGCTGCTGAGGCTTAAAGAGGGAAGTCACTGTGGTAACAGGTGGCAGCTAATGGGTGGTTCCTTCGTAGCCACACAATTGCCCATCAGCTTGGGGGACACTTGACTCTTCTTTGCCCAACTCCCAGCCCTCGTACTTAATAGGCCGGAGAGGCTGCCTAGCTCTACCCTGCCCTGCCTCTTCCAGCTAGCAGTGTTCTTTGGAGAAACAACCCTAGTTTCATGAGAACACTTGCCCTTTTAAGAGGAAGGAAGGAAGAGAGGGAGGGAATTGGGAGGAAGAAGGAAGGGAAGGGGGCTGGGGAGACAGCTCAGTGGAACAAGTACTTGCCTGGCAAATGCAAGGTCCTGAGTTCAACCCCTGATACTAACCCCCCCAAAAAAGAGAGGAAATAGGAAAGGAGGGAGGGAGAAAATCAGTGTGGTTCTGATCCTGTGCTTGGCACTTTCACCGACGTCATGTCACTTCATTGCCATGCAGGGGAAGGAGACTAGGCTGCACTTCAGAGGAGCTTTTTTGCACGCTAGGAATAAGGAAATACCAGAAATAAGAAAGGCAGGAGGTATAACTGGCATGCACTAATAAACAGATGTGGAGGAGAAGGAGGGAGAGGAGCACTGTAGAAAGGCCACAAGGACAGTGAGGGTCTCCCACACCCTCTTCCCAAGGATGAGGAAGACAAAGCAAATGCTGCTACCAAAGCAGGCTCAACTGTTCCTTCACTTATTGTGTAAGACAAGAAATGAAATGGGTACCTGAGAGGCCAGGCAGCCGACTCAGAGTCACTTGCCCCACTTGCCGAGCTGGCCTATGAACCTGAGCAGTCTGGCAGCCAGACTTGGTGCACTTAACCTCTACCTGTGCCCACACAAATGGAATCGGACTCTCCAGAAATTTCCATTTCTCCAAGCTCCCAGGCATTTCTAACACCTAGCCCAGTTTAGTGCAAGAAAGAGCCATGGGGACTAACTAATCTAAGGTGACACTTAATGGCCAGTTTGCCCATTTCTACTATAGCAAGTGGAGACATGCACGTATGATGATTCCCCATCCGGAGCTGGACTGGCCCCCTCGGACATCTGCCTCAGGCCACTGCTGACCGCCTCCTGGGATCTGGGCCCTGGGGTGGGTGCAGCAATCTGGTTCTCAGCAGCCAGGGCCACTGGAATTTGAAACCTATGCCCTTGAGCACCAGAATGGAGCATGGGAGAGGCATATGGGATCCTCCAGGGAATAAACACAGGCTGAGGGGGGCAAGAGATTACTGACCCCCTCCCTGCCCCGTTTAGGGGAATTCCACCTCCCTGAGCACTGCCCAGACTAGGGAATGCTCAGCAGGCCCCCGCTCCTGCTCCTGGAGGGACTCCATGTAGAAACACAAAGCACCGAGTTCTCAGTTGCCCTGGTAACCATGGAACCTTCTTGGAAGAAAACAGTCTCCTAAAGGCTTACAAGGGTGGATATTTCCTTTGGCTGTGAGCTAGCTCTGATCTGCTCTCTGCAACCCCTCCCCTTCCCGCCTGCCACTCACAGGGGCAGTGCTGGGGTCCCTCACCTCTGCAGCTCTCACCCAGAGGCCAAAACGGAAGGTGCAGAGCTCTGGCAATGCCCAGGCAAGAGAAAGCCTTGCCTTGTACGACAAAACAAAACAGAACCCAAGGAGGGCCAGCGTCCCCAGCAATTCCCGTCTTCCTTCCCACTTACAGAGATGAGGCCTGTTGGCCTATGGGACAGGCTGGAGAGCATCCCAAAGTTCCAGACTTATCCCATTTCAGTCTCTCTCCTTCTCTTTTCTGGATTCCTAAAGTAGGTCCCTCCCAGCCTGGTCAGCCTTTAATCTCTTCTTTTAATCAATCTACCTTCTATGTGCCTGTGGAGTGGCATGGGGACATAGTCCTTCCAACTCCCAGGTTTGGTTGGGTTTCTCTTTCCTTGAAGGGCTCTCCGTGGACCCAGTTCTGGCATTGTTCACCACATGGTCATAAGCTACCCATCTGCCTGTGCACTACTCCATCCTCCTCCTCTTCCACCCGAACTCTAGACATCCATAGGGACCTCCTTCTTTTCCTCACATAGCATGTTCATTTGTCCATCTGGGCCTTTGCATATCCAATTCCTTCTGCCTTAAACATTCACATACATGAGGCACTAGGGAATATAGCTCAGAAATACAGCATGCTCAAGGCCCTGGTTTTAATCTGCAGCACTTCAAAAAAAGAAAATCACAGACATGTTTGGCATGGTGGCATGTGTCTACAGTCCCAGCTACCTGGGAGACTGAGGCAGGAGAATTGCTTAGACCCTGGAATTTCAGATCAGCCTGGGCAACACAAGAAGATCTTGGCTCAAAAGAAAAGGAAAAAAAAATCACAAACACTCCAGACTCTACTTTAACTGGAAATCTTCTTCTCAGCTCAAAGATTGCTTTCTCCATGAAATGGCCTCAGCTTCCCCACAAGCACAGCTCTTCAGTGTCCTCCCAGCCCCCTCCCCAGCCACTGTTCCAGAGGTGCGCAAGGCTGCTGATGGAGGCTGCACTGGCAGTTATGACAAAGGACCTGTCCTGGAAGAACTGGTGGAGGACTGATGGTGCATAAGTGAAGCTGGGAGCTCCCCAGATATAGCTGGTGCTATGGACAGTAGGGACAGGCAAGGAAAAGGAAGTGGGAGCTTGGAGACGATTCGCTCCTTCCCAGCTGAGCTCCTTGTTGATGGTCACCATGTCTTTGGGAGCTGTCACTTTCTCTCAATGGTGTAATAGAGAGTGACCTCTGCTGCAGTGCGGAGTCACACAGGTCTGGCTTTGAACCCTAGCTCTGCCACTCCCTTGCTGTGTGCCCTCCACTTGCTCATTTTATTTTTTTTAAGCCTTAGTTTCTTTTTGCAAAACTGGAAGTAATAGTAGACTGTATTAATGGGCTTATTAATATAAACCAGCAACAACAAAATAACTAATACTTTTTATAAAATTCTTTATTGCAGTTCTGGGATGGAACCTGAGGACCTCTGCCAATGATCTGCATCCTCAGTCTTCTAATTTTATTTTAACGTAAGGTCTCACTGAGTTGCCTTGGACCTGGCTGAGGCTTCTGCCTCAGCTTTCAGAGCAGCTGGAATTGCAGGCCTGAGCCATGACGTCACACCTGGCTCAAAATATCTAGTAGAGTATCTTGTTAAGCACTGACAACATATTGGGCACTGTTTTACATGTATGAATCATTACAACTCTGCGAGGTAGGTGCTGTTGCTACCCCCCTTTGGCTAATTAAGAAACGAGGAACAGAGTTGAACCTGCCCATTGTCCTAGCAGTAACACACAAGTGCTTTTGAACCTGCAAGTAAAATAAGCAAAGTTCTGGGGCTCAGAAATTAGGTCCTAGAGGAAAGAGAATTCCAAGATTCACAGCAAGGTCTTTATCACCTTTAGGTCACAGAGCCCTCTGGCGCTTTTTTGCAACCTCTGAACCCCTTCTCAGAACGATGTTTGCACATGCATAAAATAAAATATGTAGAATTACAAAAGAAATCAATCATGCCAAAATTGTTATAATTTTTTTTTATCATTTTGTGGTCCAGTGGTAGCATTACCTTTTGTTTTTAGTACTGGGGATTGAATCTGAGACCTTTGCACGGACCTACATCTCCCTCCCTTTAAAAAAAATATTTTGAGACAGGTTCTCAATAAGTCACTCAGTTGCCTGTTGGGCTCAAACTTGCATCAGCCTCCAGAGTGCTGGGATTATAGATGTGCACCACCATGGCTGGCTTTCACTACTTTAATAATGCATTAAACCACAAGATTAAGTGGCAAGTCTATTGATTAGAACGTTGAAATGGTGATAAGTGCAAGTAATTCTTTGAGACACTTACAATTGTAACGCAAAATGAAAGTATTTGGGATTTCTGTTGGTGAGTCAGTCACAGACATTGCTAATGCCCCTATGGCTTATTGCCTATATTCCTAATTCGAGGAAACATTAAATTTCTGTTTGTGATTAGCAGAGAAAAGATCAAACAAGGGTCTGATCCAGGTTCACAGACCACCCCCCAAGCTCTCCCCACATTCCTACTGGAGCCCTATGGAGCTCAACTTTAAAAGTCCCCCCCCCAGGGTGTTGCAGAATAGACAATGGCTGCCCTGTCAGCTAAGGGGACGAGCTGGCGGAGAGACAAGTGTGTGGTT